TACGAGTGACTCACACTTCCGACGTACCTTGCCAACCTGGAAGAAGACCGGGACACCACGGGTGGTTTTCATGGTGACCGAGTCTTTGCTTCAGCAGCAAACGAAGCTGACTGGGAAGAACAGAACATGGACGAAGCCTCGGAGGAAGTCAGACCTCTCCCTTACTGCTCTGTCGACGTCCCAATGGATGACGAAAATCCTTGCGAAAGCGCCAACGCCAAAGTATTTTACCACTTCGCCGACAATGGTTACGTTACGCCTGCAAGAGTCAACACCAACGAAGCACAATCCATAGGGCCCAATTTCATACCTGACCCAGAAGTAGGAGACGAAGCAGCTTATCCCGAGGACACAACACTTCCCCGCTACACACAGAGTGGCCTCCAGATACTTGGCCTCGTCACCGCGGTCCACGGTGTCAAAATTAGAAGAAAGAAAGAAAGAGGATTGAACTAGCAAGAATGAGGATACAAATAGCAAACCCTAGAAGGGTTGTACTCGCTATAGAGCACCCCACTACAGGCTAGAACAATAAGATAATATTCTGACACACCCCCATAGCCAAAGTGGGGTGTAATCAGCAGAGCAGGCAAAGCAAAACAAGCTCAGGGTGGATCACAATGTCACCACACATTCTGAGCACAAGTTCAAGAAGAAATAGTTTAGAGTTTACAATTATAAGCAAAGCTAGTGGTAGTCACAACGGGCAAGTGAGGAGGAGGAGGGAGAGTGAGGGGAGAGGAGACAGGAGGCGACGGCTGAAGCTGCAGACACACGGGCAACAGGAGGCAGACTGGCACAGCGGCTACCGGACAGCGCCCGGACTACAGGAGTAACAGGCCCCGCGGCTCAAATAGCGGCGGACGGGCAACGGACCCACGGGCGGCTGGCACAGCTGGCTACGACTGGGCTACCGGGACAGCGCCCCGGACTACAGGTGATGCTGACGACAAACTGGCAACCTCCGCTCATCCTCCCGCACACAGTCCCACCCCCCTGATACACACCCACTGCTACACCACTAGCTCTACTCCCACACACCCCCCTTAAACCCTAAACCCAGTCTCCCACACAACCACCCCCCTCAGCGACAGCTGCAGCAGTGGGAGACGAAGGAGGAGGAGGAGAAAGGGAGGAAGGCACACCGGCCACCCCCATACCCGCCACCCCACAGCTCGCGTGGCGACCTGAGGGGGCCGCTTGCGGCCCCCGAAGGAGCCGCGACGGGCGACGGGAAATGGGGGAAGTGGAGAAAGGGGGGGGGGGGGGGGGGGGGGGGGCACCACGGACCTGAGGGGAGGGCGGGGCCGCGACAAGGGGCGGGGTCGCGACTAGCGGGGCGGGGCCGCGACGGTCGGGGCGGGACCGCGACGTAGGGCGGGGCCGCGACAGGTCGGGGCCGCGAAGGTAGGGCGGGGCCGCGTAGGGTCCGTGGCGGGGCCGCGACGGTCGGGGCGGGGCCGCGACGCAGGGGCGGGGCCGCGACGGTCGGGGCCGCGACGCAGGGCGGGGCCGCGACGAGGGCGGGGCCGCGACGGTCGGGGCCGCGACTCAGGGCGGGGCCGCGACGTAGGGCGAGGCCGCGTTGGTCGGGGCGGGACCGCGACGTAGGGGCGGGGCCGCAACGTAGGGCGGGGCCGCGACAGCGGGGTAGAAGCCCGCCGCGCGCCTCGGGGCGCACAGCGGGCAAAGAACCGCCGCGCGCCTCGGGGCGCACGGCGGGAGGGAAAAGTAGCAGCGGAAGCGAGGTGGTAACCCACCCACAGGATCGATCCAAGGGGATCGACCTGCTCTTATAGCATGTCAAAATTAGAAGAAAGAAAGAAAGAGGATTGAACTAGCAAGAATGAGGATACAAATAGCAAACCCTAGAAGGGTTATACTCGCTATAGAGCACCCCACTACAGGCTAGAACAATAAGATAATATTCTGACACACGGCACAGCAATTTCGAAGGAGCCTGCCACAGTTCAGCAGGCTCTGGGGGGGGAGCATAGGGAAAAATGGCGCGAAGCCATGGACAAGGAGCTGAAAGCGCTGGAAGAACGAAATACCTGGAAGGTCGTTCCCATCAGCGTGGCACGCGAAAAAATGGTACTCGCCTGAAAATGGGTTTTCCGTGTGAAGACAAAGGCAGACAGCACCATCGACAAGTTTAAGGCGCGCTGGGTTGTGCGCGGCTTCGACCAAGAGCACGGACGCGATTCACCGAGACTTTCGCCCTGGTCAGCCGACACACCTCGCTTCGAATTCTCCTCGCGATCGCCGCCATGAAGAAGAAGCTGCGGCAAATTGACGTCGCCAATGCATTTCTCTACGCACCGGTTGACGCTGAAGTCTTCGTCGAACTTCCACACGGCTCCAACAGAGAGCCCAACCAAGTCTGTAAGCTGCTGAAATCCCTGTACGGTATTAAACAAGCCCCGAGACTGTGGCAACAGTACCTACACGCTAGACTTATCCGCATCGGATTCCGCCAACTACCGCACGACCAGGGCATGTACCGGCTCACGAAAGGCGACGACTACATTCTACTCATCGTCTACGTGGACGACCTGCTCTACATCGACTCGATCGAGGACGTTACTATCTGGTTCGAAAGGGAGCTGCACCAAGATCTCACGCTCACGGTCTCATCCACCGTCACACAGTATCTCGGCCTCAACATTAAGGAAGAAGATAACGCGATCTACCTCAGCGCCGCGAAATACACCGACACTATCGCCAACCGCTTCGGACTCACCCCGACCGCCATCTCCACGCCATACCGCTACACCACCGGAAATCACATGGAAAGCTCCGCTATACTCAAACCCGCTGGCATACGCGACTACCAACGAAAACTAGGATGTCTGCTCTTCGCAGCCGTCACCTGCCGACCGGATCTCTCGTACTCCGCAAGCCAACTCGCTACCTACCTGAAGAAACCTGAAGCAGAGCACATAGCGGAGCTCGACCGCGCACTACACTACCTCGTCAGCACCCCGACGATCGGACTAACTTACTACAAGACCGGAACTACGGCGCCTAAGTTAATCGGCTAATTCGACGCTGATCACGTTGGAGACTGTGACAACAGGCGCTCGCGCACCGGCTATATCTACCGACTCGAGCCTATCGGGCCCATCTCATGGCAGTCGAGCAAGTAGGAGCTGATTGCTCTCTCCTCAGCTGAAGCATAATATATTGCACTCTGCTCAGCCACCAAGGAAGGACTTTACCTTCGCGAGCTACTGGAAGAGGCGAAACGGGCCCAGTTACCCAGCTTCTTTCTGTTCAGCGACAACCAGTCTGTAATTCGCATCGCGAACAAAAACGGATTCGCGAACAGGACGAAGCACATCGCCCTGCGATATTTCTTCGTGAAGGACGAGATCGAGAAGGGGAGACTCGAGCTGTCTTACTGCCCCACGTCTGAGATGGCAGCTCATTACTTGACCAAGAAACTCGGAAAGCAGAAGTTCGAGTACTGCATGCTGCTGACTGATCAAGGCCACGTCACTAGCAACGACACTCCAGAAGCGAAGGGGAGTGTTGGAAACAAGTAACTTAAGCGCCTCTGTCGTGTCGAAGCACTAAGTCGTAAACGAAGCGAAGTACAGTGAAACATCAGCGAGTCAACCCTCGGAGGTTCAACAACTGCTGGAGGTTACGCGAAAGTTAAAGGTCAGCGACCTTTGACCTGACAAGTACAGCGCGATAGCAAGGACAAACAACTGACTCGTTACTGAGCAGTTGCCCGAGTCATCACTGTGTCAAACTGCAACAGCAACAGTAAAACAGTTATTACCGTAATCCCCCGCATAGTACACCCCCCAAAATAGAACACCCACGGGTGTTCAATTGTGGTGGGTGTACTAAAAAATACCCCAGTTAGAACAACCCCCATTTTTTCTGAGAATTTGAGTACACTCCCCATGACAATTTCATCGTTTTTTGTAACGAAATCTGAGTTTTTAAAGGAGTTTTCAGATCAAGAAGCACGCGCGACCCTTGGAGACAATCGCGTGAGGTGGAGAGGCTGGCCCCAATTCGTCACTGCGCGATTGGTGTTGATCCCCCCTGGTGTCAGAATGACGTGGCACCAAACCCACGCGCAGTGCGAAAGCTGTTTCAGCTGGTCTCGATGGAGTTAATTGAGCAGAATACCAAATACAGATAATTCAAAAGAATTATGTACCGTATGCCATTATATAGCACCCATGGGTGCAGGCTTACACCCCCCCCATAATTGAGCACCCCCCTAAAGGGGGGTATTTATCAGTACACCCTAGGGTGTACTATGCGGGGGATTACGGTAGTTAATACCTTTCATATTCCCTTGTTCTCTTATAAAAGGCTCGTATCTCCTTTGATTATTTAATCTACTTTGCCCTCACATACCAACGCGAGGTGGTTCACAAACTTATCATTAAACGCTTCCGCTATTATATTGTTCATACTTGGAGTTTAGTACTGCAAAGATCCTAAAGGCTTTTCTCAGCCCAACAATCAAGAGGGAGGGAAGTTTGCCAAAAGGAGGGTTCAATACAGTGAGAAGTACAAATTGTAGGCAAAACAAGGAGAAGAAAGGTGCACCACAAAACAAGATAATATAAATACACTAAGTAATTCTACAGGCGGTCATATACAGCAAACATCCACCGGTAAATTATATTTTTTCAGAACATCTTGGCCTATCATCAGTGTCTCTTCTGACAAACTACATTCTTACAAAATGTAAAAGAGCAAATACAACATAGAAATAGTCCTTCTCTACTCTGCAGAAGGAAGCTCTATTACCGTATACGTGCTCCATATGCCTTGCACCACATACAGTAACATATCCAGTTTGCCCCGCGCAATTTGCTCAATCAAGTACTGATACCATAAATAGAAGCTACATATTTCCTCAAAAAATTCCAGTTAAGGCAACGCCAGGTCCCACTCACTTGTCACAAGTCTCCGTCTCCCCACCCTCTCCACCCTTCAATACCCCCCAGGCTCACACCCCTCCCCCCTCACCCCCAAAAGAAGCTCATCCATCCCTCCTTATTCAGCCGCAGCGGTGTCTTCTCCCCCTGCACCACCACATACCCCAGCGATGGCGCAATATACTCCACCGTCTCACTCAGCTGGAACGCCCCCCCTGCTGCTGCTGCCTGCTGCGCCTCCTCCGATTGCACGTGGCAGCTGGAGTGGATCTGCACTCCTGTGATGACCGCGTAGTCCGCCTTGGATGTGTCCACGGCTGTAGCAATCAGCTTCTCTATGGTTTCATTGATCACTTCCACTGCGGCTTTGGTGACGGCCACAAGGGTGGGCTCGGGCTCCTGGGTGTGTGGGAGGGGTAGGGGGATGGGAAGGAACGGGGAGAGGGGGAAGAGGGGAGTTAAATGGTGAGGGGGGGTGAAAGGCTGCGGATCTTTGAGTCGTCTCGAAGGCGAATCTCGGCTTTGTGGCTGCCTGGTGGAGGGGCTTGGGGTCCTGGGTGGGGGGGGGGGGGGTTGTCATAATGAGGACGCGGGGAGGGAGAGTGGAGTAGGTGCGAGAGAGTGGAGTAGGTGCGAGAGAGTGGAGTAGGTGCGAGAGAGTGGAGTAGGTGCGAGAGAGTGGAGTAGGTGCGAGAGAGAGAGAGAGAGAGAGAGAGAGAGAGAGAGAGAGAGAGAGAGAGAGAGAGAGAGAGAGAGAGAGAGAGAGAGAGGGGTAGGCCAGCGGATGCTTAGGCTAGGTTGCTTGTTTGTTTGATGTTAGATGGTTTTGTTTGTTATCTTTACCTCTATAACTTGCATGCTTGTATTTTGCTGCTATATGAATACAAGGACCATTAGAGAGAGAGAGAGAGAGAGAGAGAGAGAGAGAGAGAGAGAGAGAGAGAGAGAGAGAGAGAGAGAGAGAGAGAGAGAGAGAGAGAGAGAGAGAGAGTGAGAGAGAGAGAGAGAGAGTGAGAGAGAGAGTGAGAGAGAGAGTGAGAGTGAGAGTGAGAGAGAGAGAGAGAGAGAGAGTGAGAGAGTGAGTGAGTGAGTGAGTGAGAGAGAGAGAGAGAGAGAGAGAGAGAGAGAGAGAGAGAGAGAGAGAGAGAGTGGGGAAGTGAGGGTGGGAGAGGGGGTTGGGGTGCCAGTTACACTGAGGTGGAGGGACGTGTGTTCCGGAGTGATAACGTGTGATGTTCATGAGCTCATGGGGGAAGGTATCAGCCAGTGCACTTGCACAGCATTATCACTTCTTGAAACAGCCCATTGCAAGCCCTCGCCTTGCACATCATCCCTCCCACCCACTCCACGCACGCAGTCCCCATACACCCACTTTGGACGGCAGCTTTTCAATACCTCCTCGTCCCATTCTAAGGGGGAAAAAACAAACAAACCTTACCTTACCCCCCCACCCCCTCAGGTACCCTCTCCCGCATCCCCCCTCTCGCACCCCCCTTCGCCCTCTTCCCCACTCCCCCAGTTCCCAACCAACAGGGGCGCAGTGACCTTAGCGCGCAGCTTCTTCGGCAGCATGAACACCTCCATGTTTAAGAAGTGCCTCAGAAATAGACAACCGCACCGCCTCCCCCGCCAACACCCCGCTTCCATTTCCCCCATCCCTCCTCACCCTCCCCATCGCCACTAACCTTAGCGCGCAGCTTCTTGGAAAGCAGGAACACCTCCATGTCCTCCTCGTCCGCCTCCCCCAGCGCGGTCCCGCTGCTGAACTGCGCCGTCAGCGCCGCCAGCGCGCCGCACGCGCCCGACACGTTCGCGCGCCCGCCGCGGCGCATCTTGCCGACCGTGCCGCGCTCGTCCACGCCGATGTGCGTGAAGCCGAAAAACACGTCTGCACACGGAGGAACGAAGTTAGGAAGGAAGGTGGCAAGGAAGGAGAAGATGAAAAGTCAAGGGGCGCCTCAAAACCCGGCTCATTACACGCGGAAGGAGAAGATGAAAAGGAGGGTGGAACGGAATAACGAGACCTGTGAGCGTGTTGTGCTATGACTGGCCGATGCGCGCACGCGCTCAGCCGATCGAGTGTGGAGGGGGAGGGAGGGGAGAGGTAGAGGGCGAAACATGACTAACAATCTGTGATGAGAGACAAAAGCAAGAAAGGCAGGACGATAAAAGCGTGTAGCACGGCACGTCATTCACAACACCCAGGCCCGAGCCCTAACATTCGCACGCCTCCATGCTTCGCAAAGCATTCTGCGGACATGGGGAGCACCCACGACCCAGTACCCACAGCCAAGCACCCACAGTCGCGCACGTACATCTCTCGCGGCCATTCTCGTCCTGCGGGCTGTGCGACGTGCCGGCCTTGACGGCGAGCACGCCGCCGGGCGGCACGCCAGCGAGCCCGGCGAGCGAGAAGACGAGCCCGAAGTGCTTGTCGATTAGCGCGTCGAAGAACCGCGACGCCTCGTCGCGACACGTGCTCACCAGCGCGATGCTGTTGTCCCTGTTGGTGACGGGAAACCGGGGGGCAAAGAGGGGGGAAATTGGGGGAGAATGGGGTGGAGGGGAGGGACGAAGAGAGGGAGAAGAGCGGGTGAGATGAAGCGTACAAGAGCGAGGAGAGCAGAAAAGGCGAGAGGAGGTGCAGGTGCAAGCGAAGCTGGACCAGGAGGGAACAGGAGGGAAAGGTCAAATGAGAAGCGGCGGGAGGTGGGTGCCGTGCGGCGAGGCGGGACGGACGAAGAGTGACGGACGACGATCGAGTATCGCGAATGGTTACTGAAAGCAGAAAATATGAAACATCACAAATCTACACACATTGCATCTGAAGGCACGGTACCTGTTAAAGCCGTGCTCGCGCAGTTTCTCCGCGACCGTGTCGATAAACTCCGCCTCCTCCACGGCGCCGCTGAAGTTCTCCTGAATCGCCGCCACTGCCGCGGGCGTCGCCTGCAATGGCGCGCACGCGCAAGCGCGCAAAAAGGGGATGGCCCCGCGAAGGAGGATCGCTAGTGAATGAGAATGTCATCTTGAATGGGACGGAAGACGAGGCGAGAGCCAGACGTCGAGGTGATTTCGAAACTTGTGGTTGCGAGGTCAGCCACAACTTGAGGTTGCGATTACGCTTTGCTGCTCGCATCGGAACACGAAGAAAAAAATGTTGGTATGTGAAGCAGTCGAAAGCACAGAACAGTACAGCACCTCTTTGGCCAAGATCGTGGTTGCCATTGCTTGCGCCGCGGTTGAGCTGACGGGGGACGAATTGTTGAATTGGAGAGAGCGAGTGAGAGTGAGGGTGAATGCGGACGGGATTGACAAGCACAGAGGCCAATGTGTGAATAAATACCCAAATGTGGACATGGTGGTTGGGTTGGCGCAGCGGGGGGCGGAGGAATGGCGAGTTGGTGGGCGGCCTTGGGGAAAGGTAGAGGAGAAGGGGGAAGAGCGGGGGGAGATGGATGGGGGTTATGGGGGGCGAGACTCGACGGCGGATGTCCGCGGGTAGGCGCCAGGTGGCCAATGCGGGGTCTGAGCTGGGGGGAGGAGTTGCGGGGGAGGTACAATAGGTGAACCTTGGCGCAGAGATGTCAAGGGACGAAGGGCCATGGTGTGGTACAGAAATGTGGCATGGTGACCTTTCAGGGTCAATTGCATTTCTTACCCGTCATATTCAGTACTTTCCGGGTCGCACACAGAAAAAAAGGCGACCAATCTGAACAGGGTGATGCTTCTAAAAAGGCTTTCTCAAAGCCAGACAGAAATAGAATTCATCATGATTTAACATTTAACAAAGTACAACGGCTCTTTGCCTTAGTGGGATTCAGGAACTTGCACGTAAGCTCACAATTCGTTCTTCATGGTAAGGACGGTTCGAGACGGTGTGAGACGACTACTTTGATTCAATAAACGTACGAGCTGGAAACCCTCTAACCAAAGGTTACCGGGTCTAACTTCCGAGATAACCTTTGTGAAGGAGGTGGGGGAGTGAGAGCCAGTTACAGCGCGACAGTTGTGTCGGTCCACACAGGCACGTGAAGTCGGCAACTTCCGAGATATACCTGCGATTCCGGGATCTTCGCTAACTTGCTCTCAACAAGCAACCAATGATAACACGCCACATCACATCAGAGGAATTTTAATACAGGCATCTAATCCTCTTTACGGTGATGTCATTTTTAGATACTAAACCTCCTCTCAATGGTAATGGAGACATGAACAAGTATGATGGAATTATTTTGTATTTAAGGGTGGCAATTTGGCAAGCATAGCAGAACGCTGCCGCATACTGGTATGTATGCGGCGCCTGACCTGATTCGACAATCACATCTTGACTAGGTTTATTCTATTGAAGCTTAGGCAGGCAGTGCTGCAGTTTAACCCTGCCAGCTGCAAACAATCCCTGGTCGTTTTCCCACCAAAACAGGCATGCAAAGAAGCAGTGGGCTAAGCCTACAAAGTCAGCCCATACCGTATTTTGGTGAGTTGTCACCCCATTGGCAATCTCTCAACCACGAGCCACTTCCAACACAGTTCACACACTTGCTGCGCCCATACAAGTCCCATCAATTGCCCTACCAATGCGGTTCCTATCAACTCTCCCTCAACGTTTGACCCATTGGAAGCTCTTTCTTGCCTTGGCCTTGCCTGGCTTCTTGCGCTCCACCATACGCGAATCACGGGTCAGCAGACCAGCTGAGTTACAGGAAAGGGGGAGATGTCAGCATGGTGGCATGGCATTGTACAAGCAATGGTGGATGGATGAAGGTGCATGAGGAAAGCCAAGAGGATGGCAGACAAAACAACGTGCTCCACTGTCCACATAATCTTGGAGCATTATATCAAGGTTTTGGGTTTGACAATATTCCTCTTTCTCCCCAAACATTATACCTATACCCATAACAAGCCCCTGGCACTAACTGATTCCTTTGAGCCACGCCACCCAGAATCAATGCATCCCAACATCAAGGTCAAAATAAAACAACGAAAAAAATCCAAACAATGAATTCAACATCAATCGATAATAAATGAAGCCTTACAGATTCCTCATGAAGCCATGAGCGTATGGGGGTCAGAACGAGGTGTGGCTTTGCAAGAGGGAGGTACTGACCTGACTTGAGAGCCGGGCGGTACGTGGGATCAAACTGCTGCAACGCTCGGCTGATGCCGTGCCGCATGGCACCCGCTTGGCCTGATGGGAGGGGGGATGGGAAGAGGGGGAGGGGGAGGGGGAGGGAAGGAGGGAGAGAGAGAGAGAGAGGGAGAGAGTGAGAGAGATGGAAGGAGAGAGAGAGAGAGCGCGCGCGCGCGCGCGCGAGAGAGAGAGAGAGAGAGAGAGAGAGAGAGAGAGAGAGAGAGAGAGATAGAGGGGAGGGTGGGGAGGGTGGTGGTGTTGGGGGTGGGGAGGTGGAAAAGAGAGAGCGAGCAGGAGAGCATAGTAGCACAAAGGGTAGGGGAGGAGAGGAGCAGGAGCGACTTGAGAGGCAGTTGACACAGACTGAGAAGGTCAGAGAAGAAATCAGTTCGCAACCGCACCCCTCCCCCTTTCCTCGTTTGCAAAGGCAAACCACGCCTCTCACCTGCGCAACCCTCCCACCTGCGCAACCCTCCCACCTGCGCATCCCTGCCAAGTGCATTTCTCACCTGACACGCCTCCGCCTTTCACGGTAGCCTTTACGTCGAACACCCCAGCCGTGCCAGTTTCCACGAACGGTTCCAGCATCGCCGCGCGCGGCGCCAGATCGGGAAAGTACAGATCCAACGGCTGCCCGTTCACCACCACTCCACCGCTCCCCTTCCGGAGCCACACGCGCGCAACGCTCGTCTTCCGCCTCCCCGTGCCGTACGCGCGCCCCAGTGCGTCCACGCACGCCACTCTCCGCCGCGCAATCTCCGCCTGCTTCTCCTTTTCCGCCTCCCGCCGCGCTGCGCGCGCTTTCGCCTCGTCGTCGTCTGCCAGAAGCTCTTCTAACGGGGGTAAGCCCGGAACCCCGGCCAGATCCCTCATTAGCATCACACTGTCCAGCTCCTCATCCGATATAGTCGCACTCGCTGCCTCGAAGAACTCGTCCGAGAGCTCATCCGGGATCCCCTCGTTAAAAATGTCTTCCGCGACTACTGCTGACGCCTCTTTCGATACAGTCACATCGGCCACCTCCCCGCCCTCGGCGCCGCTCCCTGCGCTACCAGGCTTTTGTTTCGGCTCAGAGATCCCGGATTTTCCTGTGGGAGGCTCTGCCGCCGCTGCCGCGATACTCGATCTGCCCGTGAAGGAAAATAAGGAGCGACGAGCGAAAGGGGGTTTATCAGCAATAAGTCTCGAAGAGCAATGGGGCCCGCCCTGGGGGTTGTGGTAGGAGAGAATCGTTCGAATCTGTATAGGTCTGGCTCGGACGCTGTGGAGGTTTGGCACGAGGTTCGGTGACAGGTTCGGTACGGAGTGCGGGCGGCTGCGTTGGCTGTTATGCGCCGAGGGGGTTCTGTTAGCTGCCTCGCTGCTGGCTTCGGAAACCAAGGGCTCGCGGCTGGATCCTACTACGTGGAGGTCCGTCCGATCAGAGTGGGAGGACGAATCGACGGATGAGAGGACGACGTTGGGGACAAGCCTGGCGGCGGCTGCGGATGCGGCTGGACGCGCGTTAGCGGGAGATCTGAAAACGGAGGATGATACGATGGCGTCGGAGTGGATGCAACGTCGGGCCAGGTGGCTGACGTGGCTTAGTGCTACTCTGGCAAGGCGCTGCTGACACTGACGTGGCATGGTGAAAACTGGCGGGAAGACGATCGAGGAGGAGAAGTCGACAAGAGACGGTCGAACGGACGGCCGAGATGGGCTGACGTAGGATCTGACGCGACTCGCGAATAGCCGAGAATGCCGGGATCGACTGACGAGTGAATCGTGCCTCCGCGCAGAAAGCCGATACTGAGCGAGTGACAGGAGCACCACGCGTACTGTCTGACGGCACAGCAAGCCCGCGTGCAACGGGAATGCGACGGAATACAGCAACTAGTTAGGCTTCACTCCGCGCGAAGGACCCTCCGCTCCCCTCCCTTATGATGGAGCGGAAGATCCAAAGGAGGTGGGACCAACTACACACCCGTGGCCCCAGATAAGAGGGAGACATAGTGTAGGTTTGTCGCGATAAGCTACGAGGGAGTAGACCTTTTGTCTCTATAACGAGTTCCAGTGGTGTAGGTTTGTCACAGGACATTTCGAGATTTATAGGTAACCAGAACAACGGTTTTGCACAAATTCACCACAAATTTTTGCACACACAGGGTGGATCTCAACTTCTGGATACATGAGCATTGAATTCTCAGTTCGCCAGCTTCGGCAGGCTCCTTTCATCAGGTCGCCAGTCTTCTGCGAAAAGCGTACGACGTAACCTCGACACTGTATTCTCCACCACTCAGTTGTGACTCCTCGCAGCAACTCGTCTCGCTCATCAACACTTCCTCTAGGCTGTTCGAAGGTAGGAAAGCAAACCTCAAAAGATCGTAGCGAGTTGACCGCGTCGCGCCCGCACGCGTGGCATTCCCTAGCATGGCTCGTCGAATGTCATATTTATTCCGCCTTCTCGTGGCTTTCGCCGTCTCTTGCGCTTTCCTGACGTGTGGTTCCAGCATGGACGATCGGCAATCCAGGCAACACAGGAGCTACAGCGAGATCGAGGCAGAGGTACTTGGCTCTGCGTCAGCCTTACTCTCACATCGTTCTCCTTTTCGATCCTTCCGTCCTTTCATCGTTTCATCACATTTCTACCGGACTTATCCCCTGCCCCGCATAACGACACTGCTGATCAATCTGTACGACCATGTGGTACCTTGCCTCTGCTGCTACCATCCACTTATCTCCACAATCCCGAATCCCGCTTCTCTCTTTCCGATTTCGCGTTCCCCTGCGCAGCAGCAGGGGAGCTGCGCGCGGACTTGCGCCGAGGTCAAGTGCGACAGTGAGTGCTTGTCTCTGTATTCGCCGCCCTGCTCCGCCTCCTCCTCCTCCTCCTCCTCGTCCTCCTCTTCCACCTCCTCTTCTTCCTCCTCCTCCTCCTCCTCCTCCTCCTCCTCCTCCTCCTCCTCCTCCTCCTCCTCCTCCTCCTCCTCCTCCTCCTCCTCCTCCTCCTCCTCCTCGATTCATTTCTCTCTCTTGCTCATGCGCGCGCACACACACGCATGCACGCACACACACACACCTCCCTCTGACCCCTCCTCTCCCCCCTCCCCACCACATACACACACGGCTAGACCCCCACACACACACACACGCCTACACCCACCCACACACACACACACACACACACACACACACACACACACGCTGTCTGCCCTCGTACGTCGTGATGGCTTCCACGGTCCCCCGTCATGCCTTCACATTTTACTCCTCTCCACCACTCGCTCCCTCTCTCCCTCACCAGCCTTGGGTTTGCGTTACGGCAAGTACTGCGGCGTGGGGTGGGGGGGCTGTCCGGGGGAGGCACCATGTGATGACCTGGACGCCTGCTGCAGAAAGCATGATAAATGCGCCGGAGAGTTTGGTGTGTCCCATACCTGTTCCCCTTCACTAAAGGAGTGAGGTGTTCTGTGAATTCTGGGTTCAGTTCTTGTGAATGTGCTGTGTGCTCACATGTCTTGTGTCCTGCAGTGCGATATGTACTGACATCATCTTGATATCTGCTTGTGCCTGTTCATTTCGTGCTCGCTTTATTGGAGTGTTCCGGTTTGCCCCCTGTCCCTTTTTTCTCCAACACCTACTGGTTCTGCTCTCCAGGCGTCCAGGCTGTTCAGTGCCACAAGAAGTTCAAGAAATGCATGCAGAAGGTGCAAGCGTCAGGAAAGACAGGATTCTCCTCGCTTTGCCCTTATGAAAGGGTCATTCCGATGCTTGTACAGGGGATGGATCTTGCAATAACGCTCTCGCAGTTTGCCAGCGGCCAAGGAGTAACTGCTTGAGCTACATTGACTTCACAATCTTTTGTGTGGTATATGTTAGTCAATGTTGATAAAGTTTTCTAGGGTCTGGGATGTGCAGCACCACACAAATGGGAAGGAATGAAGGGAGCGGAGGGAGCAGACAATGCAGTCCTTTCTCTGCTGTGGTGCAGAGTGGGATCAGTCACTTGTAGCTAATGGTCAAATGTACCAGATCTTGACATTATGTTCGCATTTTTTACTTCTAAAAGAAAATTTGGAAACATGGCACTCGTACACGTAACGAATCACTCACCCATAACACATTGGTAACCACCTTGCTTGCTTTCTTCGCATGCACACCTGTTTACTGCGCAGTCGTGCTATCGCCATCGTCACAGCGCAACGATCAAACAACTCCATTTCACCCACAACAGTTTTGGCGGTGCCAACTTTGAATCGCACCGACAACTCCCCTCTTCGGTGCAGAACACGACATTTTTTCCGCATCCCTATTCAACCCCAACCTGTTCCACACCGAACCCAATCGCAGCAATCGCAGTGGTTGTTGCAAATTCGTCCAGACTTCTGATTCCCACCAAACCAAAAACGTGAGTGGTGCCAAATCTGCAAGCCCAAGCTTGATCAAACTGCCCGCCCCTGTCTTGGGTCAGAATGGAACAACAAGAGAACATAGCTTGTTTCCGAGTGGTACCTTCCTCTGTTTGTGACCGCGTAGCCCAGCCGCGTCGCTCCCGAATTTCCCCAAATTTCTCCGATGCACACGTGTACAGTGCTACCTTCCGTGGTCTGTGTGTAATGTAACTGTAGCATTTTTGGTTGAATGGGTTTTGCTCTTGTTGGGATGGATGGGAAGCTCCCCTCAGCCCACCCCCCCCCACCTCCCCCCTCCCCCCCCCTTCGCCGTCGCTCTCATCGCCCTTGTTCTTGCTCTCGCGTCGCGCTCTAAGACGGTTCCATTCCATTCCATCTGCCCGAAGACGTCAACAAACATACCTCCTCCTCCACGACCCCACATGTTCACCTCTTTACAACAAATTTCGATTTGCTAGTCACAACTCGCTACTATCCCAGGAGGGGTAAATCCCAGACCCAAGTTTCAACCAACCATCCCATAGTGCCGCCATTTTATGCATGATCCCATCGCATTCCCTCGCCACCGCATTTCTTTCGACTCGCGTTGCGACCCTGCATTCCGTCGTTATTTCTGGTGGTCGCCGTATTTTGGCCTCATAGCGCCACCATCGGCGAAGCCGAGCACCGATGGCCGATAACATAATAGCAAACGGCGTTCACCTTTCAGAGCGCAGTTGACAGTTACATTTACACACCCTCAGAAATTTCACGATTAGAGCCCTTGCGAAGGGGCGGGATACGATCGCGAGATGTTGTGTATCACCTTATGCAGCTACCTCCTCAGATACTAGGACCCCAGCATCTTAGCAAGACTTCTAAAGAGCTTTCGTCCAAAGTCGGCGACTAAGCCTAGCGTTCGTTGCGGGGTGCTTTGCGGCGTGCGCTGCGGGTGCTGACATCACAAGATGTCACTCTCGAGTTGCGCGAGGAGACTGCCACTGTCGTTGCTCGTGCTGACGTGGCTGTTGTCGTCGCTCGCCCAGCCCTGCCATGCCTACCACCGGTCGAATCGCATACGCTTTAATCCCTTCGCGAGTAGTTCTAACCCGCCTCCTACGCTGCTGTCCGCCACGGCGTGCATCTACAACCCCAGCAAAAAATCGTTCACGCGTACTACAATAAGCCCTATGATGTAAGCACATCCCCGTTACACGCACCGTCCGATTCAAACGCCCATCGTTATTAACCACCCCCTTTCTCCCTTCCCCTTCCCCGCTACCACACCCGTCACCTACGCGCACTGCATTACAACCCCGCTCCTTCTGAATTCAACGGGAAAAAAACTCACTCTATTTGTCCTTTCCGTTCTCCCGCGCACTCTCTCCCTTCTCCCCCGTCCCCTCCCCACACCGCGTACCCTCTACGCCCTCCCCATCCCCCGTTCTCGTTCCACCTCCCCGCTCCCCCTCACACACGGCTGCAGCCGCACGTTATCAACGATGGACGCGTGGGCGCCGGCGCAGGGGCAGCGCGGGCTGAACGGCAACTGCCAGTTCCTCCTCACGTCCACGTGCGGCATCTCATCCACCAGACCTAGTGAGTGACTCTCAGCTCCATGACGTGGCGTGGCGCGCGCCCCTCGTGCTCGCGCCTCCCCGTGCGATCTGACGCGGAAGTCACGAGATACCACGCGGCGCGACCTAATGTGGCGCGTCAGCCGCGTCTGTAAGGTCCTTCCCCTTGACTCACCACGCAACCCGGCTTCGTCTCCGCCCGCTCCTCTCTGCTTCCCAGCGCCGCTGTTTCGACCCAAGTCGTGGCTTTCCCCCTGCTCCTCTCCGCCCATCCTCTCCTACCTCCTCGTACCCTCTCCCCTCCAGGCCCTCGTCCCCTCACCACCCCCTTCCCGCCTTTTCTCCGCCCTCCTTTCCCGCAGATCGCTGCGACGACGGCAATCGCTGCACGGCGGACGTGTGCGCGTGGGGCGGAAACCGCTCCGCCGCTGCGTCCGCCTGCGCGCCCTGGCCCGCCTGCCACTTCGCGCCCGCCACCTGCACAAATACGCCAATTTCCAACTGTGCGAAGCCTCCGCCGCCCTCTCCGCCTCCGCCTAAGAGTACAAAACCGCCCAAGTCGCCCAAACCGCCCAAAACGCCGAAACCGCCTAAAAGCCCCCCCAAGTCAGGCTATCCTTCGCCTCCGCCCAGCCCTCCGTCTCCACCCCCTTCCCCCCCTCCTCCATCCCCCCCTCCTTCCCCGCCACCTCCGCCATCCCCGCCCCCGTCTCCCCCGCCTCCGCCTTCCCCCCCTCCTTCGCCTCCCCCTCCGCCGTCCCCACCCTCGCCCCCATCACCGCCTCCTCCCCCCCCGATCCCTCCAAGCCTCTTCAACGTCCTTGCCTACGGGGCGAAGGGCAATGGGGGGACGAACGACGCGGGCGCGATAGTAGCAACGTTCAAGGCAGCGTGCGCGTACGCTGCTGCGAGCAGCACGCGCGCTACAGTGCTGCTGCCGGCAGGATATACGTTCCTGCTGTCGTCAGCTATTAGGATGGAGGGGCCGTGTGGGACCAGCGGCAGCGGCGCTGCTATCACCATCCAGGTGTGTGGGCTGCCTGTGCTTGTGCATGCACTGGTGCGTGTGGACGACGATGTTTGATGGTAGTGCTGTCGTGTGTGTTAGAAACCTACCTGCTCGTGCCTGTGCCACTCGTTTTGCCCACCACCGCACACACAACCATGGCCACCCACTTCACTTCACCTCACCCCGTTCCCCCCCTCCCCCACCTCATTCCCTCCACCCCCTCTCCCCATCCCCACCCCCTCAGATCGACGGCACACTAGCAGCGAACCCCATACCCGAGGCCATCAGCTACAGTGTGGACGCAGTGATCTACCTGAACCGCCTGGACGGGTTGCGCCTCGTGGGCTCGGGCACGGTTGACGGGCAGGCCGCCACGTGGTGGTCGCGCTTCCGGTCAGGGAAGAGCACGGACCGGCCGGACCTGCTGTACATCCAGCGCTGCAACGGGATGGAGATGGCCGGGCTGACAATTAAGTGAGTGTGGAGCAGAGTGCTCTCTTTGGTCTGAGTTGAGTCGACTCAAACGTCACCTCGCTCAGGGAAGGGCACTGACCGGCCAGCCGGACCTGGTGTACATCCAGCGCTGCAATGGCATGGAGATGGCCGGGCTGACCATCACGTGATGATTCTGACATCATGGAGAATCAGTACTCGTTTTATATTATGACGATCAAGTTTTTTTTGCTAATCAGTGCAGTCGTCAGAAGTGCGCATCGTCCCCCTTTCCTCTCTCTCTACTCACTCGTCTCCCCACTGCAGTAACCCTCCAATGTTCCACGTGAGAAAATCAAGCACCTGGTGCACCCACTCTATCCCTATCCATGCTAACCTGTCCTCTCGCCCTTCCTCTCTCCTCCCCCGTTCCCTCCCCATGGCAGGAACCCCCCAATGTTTCATGTGAACATAAGAGACCTGGTGGGGCTGTGGATCCACCATGTGACCACGGACAGCCCATACAACAGCCCCAACACTGACTCCATCTGCATCGGCCGCGTGCGCTACGCTCTCATCGAACACTGCTCCACCCATGGCGGTGCGTTGCACCTCCCCACCCATGCAGAATTCTCTCTTGTACTTCCAAACTTCCCACTCGCGCGCGCGCGCGCACACACACACACACAGACACGCACGCACGCATGCACGCACGCACACACACACCCACTAACTCGCTCCCTTGCTGACCCTCTCTCTCCCAACCCCCTCCCCCCCCCCCCCAGGTGATGACAACATATCCATAAAGGACGGAGTGCACCATGTGCTGATCCGCCACGTGCTCGGCACAGCGGGCCACGGCATCAGCATCGGCAGCCTGGGCATCGGCGGTGCGCTCAACTGCGTCTCCAACATCACTGTTCAGAACAGTGTGCTCATGTCCCTCTCTAATGGGCTGCGCATTAAGACGTATCAGGGCGGGCAGGGCGCTGTCTGGAACATTCGTTACGAGAACGTGACCATCTCCGACTGCTCCAACTCCGTCATAATCACACAGTTTTACTGCGACAAGAACAACGTCGGGCCGGGCGGCTGCACGATAAAGCCGGCAGCGCTCGGCATCTTCAACGTCTCATACACCAACGTCACGGGATTCACAAACGGAACGACGGGGATCAATTTCAACTGCAGCGACAGTGTGCCGTGCCAGCAGCTCAGCCTGAAAGACATCGCCATTGCCTCCTCCAGAGGTCGCGTTCTCTTACCAAACTACCGCAGTGCGTACGGGACTGCCACGCGTGTGCTATCCCCTCTACGGCCCGACAACAAGACTTTTGTGGAAGGCGGGATATCGGCAACTAAAGCAGACGCGTTCCTGGCTCAGATCGCCAAGTGCGGGTATGTCTGCCGCTCCCAAATCATCTGTTTGTTTCGCAATGTTGGTACGTCACAAGCACTTCTTTCCAGTAATAGGGCCGGTATGTGGTCATACTTGCATCAACCTATCTGCTTGACCTACTGCCCTGCCGCTGTATCCAGGGGCGTTTGAAGCCTTGCACCCTTCTTTGCCCACTCCTTTGAAAAGCAAGTTGACGGTCTCATCTCATTGGTGCATTCTTCATCTCCCCCATTTCCCCTGTGCAGAGTAACGCAACCATGGAACCCGAATCCACCTCCACCCTCGGCCCCTCCATCCTCTCCTCCCCCCAGACCTATACCCCCACCATCCCCTCCTCCTCTACCCCCACCATCCCCTCCCCCTCTACCCCCATCATCCCCTCCACCAAACCCTCCTCCCGCACCACCATCCTCCCCACCCCCAACCCCTCCCCCTTCTCCACCTTCAGACCCTCCTCCAACCCCTCCCCCTCCTCCTGTGTAATGACCACTTCAATTGGAAGTTTGAGATTACAGGGATGCTGGACACGGAGATTGTAGAGATACGCTTCAATGGTTACAAGGTTACATCTCCGTGATATGGGTTGAGTGTAGTGTTGCCAAGGAGTTGGTGTCTGTGCACTGGTAGTGCACTTGGTGGATGTGTTTGGGATGGGGAGCGTTGGTTGCACAGCAAAGATGCTTTGCAGCAGTTGTATGCCGTGAATCATGATTTGTGTGCCCTATTCAAGTGTCTATTCAGGCGTTCTTCACGCCACAAAGCATCTCATCTGCTATTTATTTCCAAGGACTGCTTGAATTGTGTGATGCAAAAATCGCTGGAGTCCCACCAGGCCGCTTTGGCAAGTGATGGGCAGATTACGAAATCAGACACAAACCCTAGAGCCCAAACCTAAGGGCGTGTAAAATTGCCACACACATGCGAAATTAGCTAATGGCCGGATTTTTATGACATGACAACACGAGCCCACGGATTTTTAGGGGGAATCATAGGGGCGTGTCTCTCAAATTGATTCGCTTTGCACTGTGCCGCCAGGGTTGACTGTCACTCAGCCTCTTCCCCACTCGTCCATCATCGCCACGTCCTTCCTCCCCGCTTCGCGGCCTTCGCCTTGTTTCGCAGTCCAGAGCGGGAACAACACCAGGGAAAACAGCATGTGACATCTCAAGCATCTCCCGCAACACGCGGACGGAGAGCGCGCATTCCCCTTGACCATGCGCATTCCGCGTCCCGCGGTACTCGCATTGCTCTGCTGCGACCGCCATCGCGTTCGACCGCACGATTGAACAAGGCAACCACGCTTAGCAAGCAGCCAACAGCACTCCCGGCCTCCCTCGGCCTCCCTCGCACTCCTTCGCACTCCCTCCCATTGACTACCATTCATAAAAAGATGCACGAGCAGCAGTAGGCGCGACGACTTTGATTCCCCCATCAACGATTCGCCTCATACCATCGCTGCCAAACCCACACACGCTCGCTTATCACTCCCCATGGACCGCCTTATCCGCTTCCTGATCCTTCTCAACGCGCTTCCGCTCGTCGCGCTAATTATTGCCGTCTTCATTCAAAACCTCTTCCGCTCCATCCTCCAGCTGCTCGGCCTCGCTCCCTTGGATCCCCCCGATCTCCCCATTTCCGCGCGCCCGCGCGCGCCCGCTCCCCCCTCGGGCCTCTGGTTCGTCCGCCAGCAAAGGTCACTGAGACAGGCGGAAGGGGAGATGATGGAAAACGCGGGGGAACTCAGGCAGGTGGGGATCGGTGGGGATATGGGTGGATTAGGCGGGCAGGTGATGCTCGGAGAAGCGGGATGGGGGAGGCCACGGGTGCAGGGGGAAACAGGAGATTGGCGGATGGGGGAGATGAGAGGGGGACGAGGGCACTCGGGGCAGGGGCAGATGGGGTTGGGCGCATCATGGAACGGGCAGGAGGAGTTAATCCGGGCAGGATTTGAGGAGGCTGGATATGTACAGGCGGGACTTGGGGGAGGTGGTATTTGGGCAGCAGGCGGAGGTGACTTGGCTCACGGAAGTCCAGCTGGGTATATGGATGGCGGACGGGGTAACATGGGAGGACACAGCGTAGTTGCAGCAGCAGGGAGGGAAATGGGAGGGGGGGGGAGAGAGGCAATGAGGAATATGGGCCCTGGGCGTGGGGGAGGTGGGACGGGTAGGAATGTGGGGCGGCCTGGGGGAATGGGAAGCAGAAGTGGAGAAAGGTACGGTATGTTCCCCTCACTAGCCCAAGGTATGGTGTAACGGGTGGTGGTCAGCAGCAGTAAGCTTTTCCTAGTTGCTTTCTCTGTATCTGCAATCACAAGACAAGCATAGAATAGAAGGGCACATCTGCTGTATATTGTAAATGGCTTTTCAATAAGTGTTTACATGGTTACACAAGGCTTGTTGACAACAGTATCAAAGGCAGAACTATCCTCGTAGCACCACTTTATTCAAAAAACATCCCATGATTCTTCTTCATTCTCACCCTCCTTCCACCCTCCACTCCGCGTCCTTACCAGCCACCCATCAATCCTATCAAATGAGCCAGTGAAGGTAGAGCGCGAGGAAGAGCGTGAGCGAAAAAGCCGACAGTATATGCTGCCAGAAGAGCAAACTCGACACCTCTTTCTCCCCGTACCCTCTCAAGCTCGCCATGGCACCTGCCAGAATGGAACTGGGCGTGCTGTGTTGCAGCAGCAGCACGAACCGAAACATCTTGTCATTCGGAGGCAGGAAATTCATCCATTCCGCCAGCAGCACCACCACCATTCCCACCACCGGAGACACCAGCAGTCGCACCACACTGATAGCTGCTGTTGTCCGCACTCCCAGTCCCGACCCTCCCCCCGGACCACTAATCATGTTGCCTCCAAGCACCAGCATGATACAGGGAATCATAGCACCGGAGAGGATAGTCAGGCTGTCAACAACAAAGAGGAAGGGAGCGGAGGGGCCGAACAACAGGGCTTTAAGGTGGGGGGTAGCGCCGACGAGGATGGCGAGGAGAGAGGCGATGACGGGCGGCTGCATGAGGTGGCGGATGGGTGTGCGCTCTGCCACAACACGCATCTTACGCACCACCTGGGGCTCCTGCAGACACGGCACACACTCCAAGTCACGGTCGTCCTCATACTCCTCCTCGTCCTCCCCCACCTCCTCCTCATGGTCAAGACCGCCCGGAGCAGCAGGATTATTCTCAGCAGCAGTAGCAACACCATGCTGCTCCTTGTGCTCCACTGTGCTATCGTCCTCCTCCTCGCAGCTGCTCTGCGTCACTGAGCTCCTCCTGCTGCTCCCTGTGCTGGCCCTGCTTCTGCCTGCATCTGACCCTCTGCCTGAGCCTGACCCTGCGCTTGTACACGGATCTACAGTTATACCGCACGTGCAGGCATCAGCAACTATACCACCCGCCGCATCCATGCCCCTGCTGCTCCGTCTGGCTGAGCTGCTATCAGCCCCACCCACACAGAACTTCTCCTTGCAGTCGCCACACACACAAGAGCACCCCACAGCGTGTGGGTTGGCCGACCCCGCCTCCCATGACACTCTTGCGCTGCTACCACCCATATCTCCTTCCTCGCCTGCTGCGTTCCTCTCCATTGCATCCAGAACCGCACTCTCCCTCCCCCGCTGCTGCCCATCAATCCTCTCCCCATTCACCCCTCCCTGCCGGTCC